GCCTCTGTGCCCAGTCTCAATTGCTGTCCCAGTGCGCCCCAGGGGCTGGGCCAGCATAGCATGCTGAGGATTGAACCCTGCTGCTGTGCTCTGCCTAAACAGGCGCTTTAGTCCACTGAGCTATCTGGTTGTCCCTAAAATATTTTCTTTTAAGGATTTTGAATCTGTTTTCCTGTTTGCAGATCCCCGTTCTGTACCTTTCCATACAGGAATATCTGGTGCTCTGTCTCCTGAGTCTCATATCTTATTTCTTGTGGCTGCTGTAACATCTCAGATTAGGAAATTTATGTAATAGAAATTTATTTCTCACTGTTTTGAAGACTGCAAAGGACAAAGTCAAGGTGCCAGAGGTTTTGGGTTTTGTTGATTCCTTTTTTTTCCCCTTAATTGTTGCTTTCTGTTAAGTCTTCACATGACAAAGCCACAGAAAGGCCCAGCAGTCTCCTGCAAACCCTAATCCAAGCTCTAATCCTGTTCACGAGAGATGAATCCTTATGGCCTAGTCATTCCTTCAAAGTTCTATCTCTGTTACAATTGGGATTAAGGTTGAGAATGCTTTATGGAGCAGACAGAGATACTGAAATGATAGCAGCTGGGTTTTACAGTGGGAATTGCCTGCTTCTTGCAGATCTTCCTATTCCTATAGTTTCTCTGTGTTGCTAAGCCACTTCCTACTCTTTGTCCACTTAGGTCCTCCAGTGTTTGAGACATTTCTTTGTTTTTGTTATTTCCATTCTTGTTCATTTTTGCTTTTCAATTTGCACCCTTTTTGCTTAGGGAGGATTGAGTGGGGAGAGAAAAGAAACGCTTGTGTGTAATCCTTTCTCCAGCTGTGGGTGCTCCCTTCTGTGCAGCTGTATTTTAAAATAAAAACTCATACAACAAGTAGGGAGATTACTTTTTCCTTTCAAAATTAAAGCTGAATTTATATCCACCATCCTGCTGAAGCCTCAGGTCCCCCTAAGCTATTAATGGCATGGACTGGCTTCGCTTCCTCTCTCTGTCTCTGTCTTTCTGTTTCTTTGTCTCTGTCAACCTCTCTCTCTCTCTCTCTCTCTCTCTCTCTCTTTCTCTCTCTCTCTCTCTCTCTCATGCACACATAGACTCAAAAGTGTTATAATATTTGTAGTATAGCTTACTTATACTATGCTTATACTTATCAGACTAAAACTATGAACATAATTCCAATGATATAATTCTTTTTTATTTTTTAAAGTGTAAAAATAGTAAAGAAAAACCCATTAGAAATGATACAGAATTT